ATAATTATTCTTATACAGCTGGTACAGTTAAGAATTATCGTTTTTCTGGTTCTCTGTCAACCCTGTACATATTTTTCCTAGTTTTAATTCCGAATTACGGTCTCACAAAATGGTGAATTAGCATACATTTAAAATTCAGCATTAGTTATGTTAATCAGAAGAAATCAGTCTATGTGTGGCTGGCAGTTTTGATTATTCCATTTCATTAAGCAAACATGACGGATCGTGTTTGCATTCGGTTTGTATGGTCGCAACTATGTATACCTACATATAAATTGACGTAAACTTTTCATAATTTATTGTTGCGGTAAAGCATTCAGGGCGGCTTACCATTTGAAAAAATTGAAAAAAAATACATTATTGATTATTTTACATCGACAAACAACTTTTTATTTGCGGAGGAGAAATTTCTACAATAAAACCTATGTCATCTACTTATATACGCACTCTGTCTTATAAGTTGTTCAAGTGATGTCAATTTTCCGGTAAACAATAAGGACTGTTTTTGAACTCTTCCCTAACATTTCGGAAAACTTCATCGAGAATTGACCGGCATTCTGCTGCAATTAATATCAGCAGGTTGTGTTTTATCAACGATGGGCTTAAAACGTCCTCAAAGAAAGAAGTCTAAGGGTGTTCAATCCGGTGATCTTGGAGGCCATTCAATTGGTCCCCTTCTGCTAATCGATCTATCCGGGAATATCTTACCAATGTTAGGGGGGGTTCGAAAATAGACTTTATTATTGTTTACAGAAAAATAGACAACATTTTAAACAACTTATAAGATAGTGCGTAATTAGATCCCATGGGTTTTATTGCAGAAATTTCCCTTTGGTAAATAAAAAGTGATTTTTCTCGAAGTGAAATAATCAATAAATCCGAAATCAATTGTTTAAACTAGATTTTCTTCCTGTTACTCAACGATTTTAACGGTGTTACCGAATCTTCTAATCATTTGTTGTATAAGGAGACCCAATGACATCATTTTTGGTGAAACACTAATGTGAAAAGCAAAATGTCAATGCAGGCAAGTTTAATTGTTTTTACAGTTTTGAAACGTGGTTATTCGGAAGCCGCTGGACAAAAACCAACAAAGTAATAACTAATGTAAAGAGAATTGAACGGCCTTTAAAACGATGTGCCACTTGACCTCTCCTCCCATTTAATATTCTAAGGGTAAAACAAAGAGGCGAAAAATATTCATTTAAAGTGTCCCCCTTACAAATAAAAATGAAATGAGGGGTCTATCCGATTTTTCATATTTTCAACTGCAAAAAATATATTAAGGGTGGGAAGTTTGCAAATTGAAACCCGTAAGATACACAGCACACAAGGACACATTAAACCCATGGTTAACTGAACACCGGCACAAATTGAGCAGGAGTTAATTAACCGAATACCAGGAGCTGCTCGAGAAGACTGCACAATAAGGTGATTACACAGGCACTAACTTGTTTGGAGTAAAGACAGAAATGTATGTTTATTTGTATACACATCAATTCGAGGTTCTGATGACAATTCGCCAGTTCAACTAACGATCGTGACGCTGCGAAACGTCAAATTACTTGTTGTCGAGTGACTCGTGCGGAGTTGATACTTGTCAGACTTGGGAGACTATTTATTGGAGTTGATGACATTTATAGCATAAAACAATACTTAGGTACACACTTTTCGATCTGTTGCTATTTCTGTAGAAGATAAAAGAAAACAAATGACAATCAGATGTAAACACCAATGTCAACAAAACAAGTGTCAAATTACTACTTAACTTGTAGTTATAATATTAGCCACCAGGGGGGCGTTTGAACAATTTATCGTTGAAAATTTGACATTTCGAAAAAAGTAGATCCCTGCATTTAACGAATCCTGTTGAATATACCGTTTATCCGACAATACAATATACCGTTTCACGTTCTATTGTATTGTCAATTTCTCTATTTTTCCATGGGTTCCGAAGTAGTTTTTAATAATTACGAAGCAAGAGGTTTTACTAGGCAGATTACCTTGAAAACCATTGTTGCCATCATTCTGATATAGTTTTTTGCACATTTCTCACATACCTAATAGCAATTATTTTTTTTACTCATTTTTCTGTACTCCTTAAACACCCCCCGACAACACCTCCAGAGGAATGAGGCCAATTTTGAATCACCCTGAAATATCTTCAGGTTTTTGCGCTCAAATTGACATTTTATTTCAATCTTTCAACCCTTTCTTTTATTCAAGAGCATTTGAGAACAGAAAACAATCGGAAGAGCACCGGAATCGTTGCTTAAGGCCAATAGACGAATGACAAATCGCTGATGCAACGTTCCAAAGTGTAACAAACCTGTTCGACAACAGTAGACAATTCGGTAAAAAAAAACAATAAACCTAATGATCGGATTAAACTGGACCGATAAAATCTACGTTCAGCACACAGAGTTTTTGGCCAAGATAAAAACTTGAAACCACCTGTGGCAGTCGGCCTTAAACTAGCAAGGTCGAACTGAACAATTGGGTTGATCAAGGCACCTTCTGAAGTGTTCTCCAATTGCCTAAGACAGACTTGTCTTGCGAAATAGGGGAGTTATGCTACCAACTCTTGTATGTGGGACAGTAGGAACATCAATACAATATTATGGATGGCGACCGATATTCCTCTGCTCTTACTCGTGACTCCAAAATTAAATTTATTTTCTACAGTTAATTGGTTAAAAATCGTTACTAAACAGTTTAAGATGGGAAAAAAACGACTTGTAATATTTCCAGATCAGATACATTTCCCAATACCGTTCTCTTCATGCGCCAGTGTAATGTGGTCGATGAATTCCAAATTGGAAAAAAACCGTTTACAACATTGTGTTAAGACCCATAATGGTAAGAATTGGTGCTGACCTTGCCCGAATACCTTACGTTCGCATAGGTGAGCTGAAAAATGGTTTGCTAGTAATTCCATTTGGTAGGTTCCGGAACTGTGATGTAGGCGCATTGCATGGGAACCAAATCCCTTCGTTCTCCTCTTCAGCAGTTCAAAACTATATGGAAACCGAACATCGAGCCCAACGCACAATCGTACCTACAATGCCCAGCCCAACTTTTGCACACATGCAATTTTTCAACGAAAAAACTCAGGGGCGTGTCAAGCGAGCTCCGCCGTCATCATTATTGTTCTAAATAAATCTGGTCTGCTTTAACAGCAATAAAGTTCAGAGAGATTTCAAAACTTTTATAGGCGCTAATTTCGACCCCATTGCAGCACGTTCAGGGTGCGGAAGCATTAATGACGGCATTTTTACGTACAAATTTACTACTCGCCATGCAGATATGATCTCTCAAATAATAAAAAAAAGTGAAATTCACGTTTGTGCAACAACAACCGCAGAATATTTTTATGGAAAACAATAGACTGTCGGCGATTGTTACGTGAAAACATAAAAGGACAATATTGTTCGGGGTATGTACAAGGTGTCTGGATATTTGTATGCTTGATGAAAGTTCGGCAGGTATTAGACTACTTTTTAGTTCTAGCGACTTCACTAGTCTTCCAAACACTTTGATCAATTCACTTTTTTATAAATATTAATTCCAAATCAAATTCATTCCTGGGTTTCAGTCATTTATTGTCTTTATTTATTAATCAAAATACGTTTCGGTGTATTTTTCCACCATCATCAGTTTTTATGTGTAGCGTTGTTGTTGCTTTAAGCCTTGGCATGCATTTGGACTATTCTCCAAAGAATACTCCAAACGTATTTTGATTAATAAATAGAGACAATAAATGACTGAAACCCAGGAATGAATTTGATTTGAAATTGAAAAACAGTCAGGAAAGTATATGCAATAAATATTAATGAACTGCTCTCCTGGAACCACACATCAGGCCGACATCCCAATTTAGCGGAATAATTTTCTCCAATTTCCATAAATCAGTCGGCTTTTCTATGTTGGTTCAAAACCAACATTTCCACGGCTCTACAGAAATGGGCAAATTACTCCCAAAAATGGGATGCCTTGCGGTTGATTTACCTGGGTTTAGGCGCTTTGGTGCTTGTTCTGTTGATGAACGATGAAGTAGACAACATTTTGAACAACTTATACGATAGTGCGTAAGTAGGTCCCATGGGTTTTATTGTAGAAGTTTCTCTTCCATAAATGAAAGTGATTTTTCTCAAAGTAAAATAATCAATAAATCAGAAGTGAATAGTTTAAACTAGATTTTCTTCCTGTTATTAAACGATGGGCCCCAAAAATGGGGTGCCTTGCGGTTGATTTACCGGGGTTTAGGCGCTTTGGTGCTTGTTCTGTTGACGAACGATGAAGTAGACAACATTTTGAACAACTTATACGATAGTGCGTAAGTAGGTCCCATGGGTTTTATTGTAGAAGTTTCTCTTCCGTAAATGAAAGTGATTTTACTCAAAGTAAAATAATCAATAAATCAGAAGTGAATAGTTTAAACTAGATTTTCTTCCTGTTATTCAACGATGGGCCCCAAAAATGGGGTACCTTGCGGTTGATTTACCTGAGTTTAGGCGCTTTGGTGCTTGTTCGGTTGATGAACGATGAAGTAGACAACATTTTAAACAACTTATAAGATAGTGCGTAAGTAGGTCCCATGGGTTTTATTGTAGAAGTTTCGCTTCCGTAAATAATAGTGATTTTTCTCAAAGTAAAATAATCAATAAATCAGAAGTGAATAGTTTAAACTAGATTTTCTTCCTGTTATTAAACGATGAGCCCCAAAAGTGGGGTGCCTTGCGGTTGATTTACCTGGGTTTAGGCGCTTTGGTGCTTGTTCTGTTGATGAATGATGAAGTAGACAACATTTTGAACAACTTATACGATAGTGCGTAAGTAGGTCCCATGGGTTTTATTGTAGAAGTTTATCTTCCGTAAATAAAAGTGATTTTTCTCAAAGTAAAATAATCAATAAATCAGAAGTGAATGGTTTAAACTAGATTTTCTTCCTGTTATTCAACGATGGGCCCCAAAAGTGGGGTGCCTTGCGGTTGATTTACCTGGGTTTAGGCGCTTTGGTGCTTGTTCTGTTGATGGAGGAGGTGGTACTCCTCAACTGTTGAACCGTTTTGTTCTGAGCACTGGCACTGGCGGCTAGCTGGGCGGCGCTCGTGCGGGGTAAGCGAGAGGACACCCCAATCGCACCCCCGACACTGAACAAAATCAGAAAATATCCACTCCACCTCATGGTGGCACCGCTGTTCCAACTAACTCAATTCGCACGGTCTGAAAGGATGACCTTTCTCGACAAATTGGGAGAAAATTTATTCAAGTCCGAATTTCGGTCACTCGCAGCAACTTCTTATTTTGCGCAAAGTTGCCTTAGTTGCACCAAATTGTGCACATTTTTGCGGTACTTCGTATTCCGGGCTGAATGAGCGTTAATATGGTACTAAACGGTTCCCGCCATGTATCACCACAACCAGACGGTGGTTTGCGGGTCTTGCGTGCAGAACCGGCTCAGAAGAGGTAGCGGAGTGTTTGATCCGCTTTAAATTGTATGTAGCTATGTTCTGGATACGCTCTTAATGCGTAGGTACTCGCTTCTGGACAAGGTCGCGCAACAAATTGAAATGTATGCATTTTGTAAGTGGTTGTGCATCAAAACGACTCAGATGGGAAGGTCGTTGAAGAAGAGAGCCACGACAGGAAGTTGAACCCGTTCAGAAAACCATACTTAGTTTCGACTTATTAAGCTGCGATGTTTGGCACAAAAAATCGACACGGTCCTGGTACGGTGGTACCAACGACTTTCACTTACATCCACCAATTTCAGTAAGGTAAAGACTGGGCTTTATTTCTCAGCAGGTGCCGCAGTAGTGCCACAGTAGTACTTCAGTAGTATCAGCTGAAAATACGTGCAGTGTTGCCCAGTTACCAAATTTGTCATCATCCTCCATCACATAAAATAAAACATGGAAACTTACAATGGCACAATGAATGATTGCCTAATATGTTTCAGTAGGTACCGACAGTCATCGCCGATATCTTTCAGTTGTGCAACAATTCAATCGAGTTCTCATAGCATAATGCAAAAAATCCAGCAATCGTTGATCAATCCAATCCGGCTTATGATTTGCTTGCAAAATAATGGCGAACTTGAGCGGCAACGCCGCATTAGTACCCAAGGGTCAACGAGCCGCTGGTACCATTCAAGAATAATCATCTCGCGTGCTCATCCTAGGTCACTGGTCACTGGCGACGTCACGCGGATTACGATGGGCAATTGTCTGTCGTGCCTCGGCGTGGTGATGTTGATGATGAAGATGATGCGACCCAGCCATACTCATGTGGTTGGTTGATGGGATGGTAATGGGCGCCGACGGGTTCAAGGACGTGGGGACGTTCACTATTCGCTAATAATCTAACCAACTGGATTGGATGGACACTTAGTAGGTACAGGGTTATTCCTCATAAGTTGACACCCCCTCTAGATCGTTTATTTCAAAAAAATTGTCAGAGAAAATAAAAATATGAAACACTGAGATGTGAAAATTTGACTTAAACTATTTTTTTAATGAAACACCCTATACAGGCTTATTCACGCTATACGACACGGACGTTCGCGGCTAGCCCGTTTGTTTTTTACAAAGTATTATTTGATGAATCCACAGACGCCTATCGGGTGCACATTTGAAAAATATTTTTGTAATGTACAGAGTGTCCCAAAAGCCCTAAAAGTATCAAAGTTGTGTTTTTCTAAATGAAATACCCTATTATTATTGCATTTTTGGATTCTCTGAGCAAAATAAGTGTTTGTTTTAATAAGATTTATAATGCCTAAATCTAAAGGTTTTTTAAATAATTCGAATTTTATCAAAATCTAATATTATTTT